AGATGGGCAAGGGTTGTGAGAAAGGGGAAGACCATCTTGGGGACAATACTTGGAACAGGTCTTAGGACTGAGTATTTCTTCCACAGCCTCTACAAGTCATTTGTTTGAAAAGCATCGTGGAACAGGAGACATAGAACAAAGCCCAGGGAAGACCTTCTAAGTTGGTGGAATCTGGAATGTGGTAGCAGCCTCTAAGATGGCCCCCAGTGATTCCTGCCTACTGGATTTCATGGGCTTATGTACCGTCCCCTTTAGTAATAATTTCTAACCAAAAAAACACACTTTTGCCAGTTTTGATGAAGAAAACTGCCAGAATGGAGAGGCCCATTTGGCAAGGAACTGAGGAAGGTCTCTAACCAACAGCCAGGGAAGAACTGAGGTCCTCAGACCAGTAGCCCTCAAGGCATTGAATTCTTCCAACAACCATGTAAGTGAGTTTACTATTTAACCGTTTCCCAGTCAAACCTTCAGATGAGATCCCAGCCCTTGCCAACATCTCTGATTACAGTCTTGTGAAAGACCCTGAAGCAGAGGACCCAGCAAATCTGTGCTCAGATTCTTGACCCACAGAAACTGTGTAACAATACATGTGTGTTCTTCTAAGTGACTAAGTTTTGAAGTGATGTGTTTTGGAACAATAGGTAACTAATACATAGAATATGGTTAAAAGCTGTGAGGAAGAAGCTAGGGAAAGAAAGAGGTGACACATCTGGTCCAGTGAAGGGGAGCTCCCTACTTCCCCAAAAATCTTTCCTACTGCCAGGGGACATTAGTGATCAGAAGGTATTTCCTCATTCTGAACCAAAGCCTGCCTATCTCCCTGCAGCTCTACCCTTGGTCCTCACTTTGCACCTGCGGGCCACACAACGTGATTGCTTTGTCTTTTGCATATTAGCCCTTCAAAGATAGGAGGACAATAAATCATTATAGATATGCTCAGTTACACTGAAGATGTGAGCCTGATCTAAGGACAACTACCCTTCTACAGTAACTCAGCAAATAACAAATAGTAACTCAATAAATATGTAATAAAATCATGACTAAAAGCTATCAGGTAAACCAGTCTCTGCCATCAGTCCAAGTGGCACAAGGAATCTTGGGCCCTCAGATGACCTGCTTATAAAAGGAGCTTTTCATTATTATTTATAGCAAAGAAACAGTAACAAGTACAAGAACAAGCTCCCATAAGAATACATCTTCATTTTGTAATGAGGCTGCTAGAAAGTTCACTAGACATATTTGTGGCTTGTCAATAACAATCACTATAAAAAGTCCATAAATTTAGACAGACAGTTTGTTGTCTACTTTTTGGTGTCTAATTTCCTCACAGTGAAGTGCATAACTCTTAAGTGTACCAACCAATGAATTTTGAAAGACACGCACACCCATGTAACTCACATCCTATTAAGTTACAGAATATTTCCAACACAACAGTTTTCTCATGCCCCTTACTAGTTAATCCTTAATACCACCCTGTCAGAGCAATCCCCATTGTTCTAATATTTTTCAACTTTGTTTAAATGTTACCTTTTCAGAAACATCATATTAATATAATCATATGTAAGCCTTTATTCAGAATAATGTTTTTGAGATCTGTCGTGTTGTTACATGGTTTTGTAGTTTGTCCCTTTTTATTATTGAGTAGTAGTATTCCATTATATGGACATCCTAGTTTGTTTATCCACTCTCCTTGTTGATGGGCATCCAGCTTGTTTCTAGTTTTGGCTGTTATGAATAAAGCCATTGTTAACATTATCATACAAGTCTTTTTGTAGACATGTATTTTAACTTCTCTTGGCTAAATACCTGAGAATGAGACTGTTCATAGATATACAATGGACAGATCTTTTGCCAGAGTGTTTGTACCATTTTACACTCTTATCAAAAAAGCCACAAGGGTTCTCATGTCACATTTTCACCACTTTTGGTGTTACCAGTTGTTGAAATTTTAGCCACCCTGGTTGATGTGTAGTGGTATCTCACTGTGGTTTTCATTTGCATTTTCTTGATAACTAATGGTATTTATGTGCTTTTTCATGTGCCAGTTGGTCATTCTGATATTTTTCTTTGTAAATTATCTGTTCATCTATTTTGTCCACTATTATACTTTTCTTGTTTTTTTCCCCTAAATATTGAGTTGTAGCAAGTCCTTATGTATTTTAGAGTCCTTTGTCACATATATGTATTATGAACATCCTGCTAGCCTGTGGCCTGCATACTCATTTTCTTAATAGTGTCTTTTGCTGAGCACATGTTTGGTTGATTTTTTAATGTGTCTGGCAGCTCAAAACAGTATTCTGATTTCCTTTTATCCTGCAGTTTGGCTTTTGATAGGTGGAGGCACACATTTTTCTGACACGGGCTGGGGAAGGTGTAGAAAAATAAGGTGTGTGTAGGCTTCTGCCTGTTTTTGTCTTCATGTTTTGGTAAGATAATTTGGCTCTTACCAGCTGGGATTTATGTCCTCATGAACAATCAGGCAAGATATCAGGTAAAAAGAGGGAGAGCAAAGGTCAGAACATGGAGAGAGGGTTGGTAGATTGGTGATAAATGCTGGGGGCTCCCTCCCCACCCCCAACAAGGATTTCTTCAGAGGAACATGAATGTCCATGGTCTCTGGACCATGCTTATGGCAGATTTGGTGGGTATGACATCATTTTGAATGCTACCATCCAGCCTCTTTGAGGTATTGTCTCTAGCTCACCTGAGAGGTGCCATCATGCCAGTGTAAGACAGGGCTCATCCAGGGAGGGCATTGTGCCAGAGAAGGGAGACAGCAGTGAAGCCATTGAGCTTAAAGTATTTCTACAAGAGTGACTCTCTAAAAGTGGATGGGGTAAAAATGAGACCAGTAGGATTTCTGTCTGTGTGGTTGATTTTGTTTGTTTGTTTTTTAAATAAGGACAAAGAACTCAAGTAGAGGTGTATGTGCAAAGGGTCTGACAGGATGGGAGGGTGTGGGGTGAGTCAGTCCATGTGCCAAGAAATCCAGAGAATCTCTAGTAGCTGAGACTCAGGCTTTTTTTAGACCTAGGCAAAGAGAGGAATTCACCTCTGATCTTTCACTGCAAAGCTAGCTGCTACGTCAGTAGTCACCGCAGAAGTTTCCTTGAGTGAACTGAGTTGCAGGAGCCAGTGTGGCCCAATGCCCTCAGGCCTCAGCCCCATAGGCAGCCTGCTGAGCAGATGTTTTAAATTTTGGTGACCTCTATCTTTTTTTCCCTTTTTTGGCTATTGCTTTCTGTATCCTCTCTGAGAAAATTTTGCCTATCCCCAGTCACAAAGACATTTTTCTATACTTTATTATAAAAGCTTTATAGTTTCAGCTTTCATGTTCAGGTTCATAGTCCATAGTAAAATAGTTTTTGTTTGTTTGTTTATTTTTTGGTCTAGTTGTTCTAGTAATTATTGTAAAAAGGGATATGAAAATTTCAAATTCTGACTGTAGCTCTATCTCTTCCTTTATATCTGTCTTTGCTTCATGTTATTTAAAGACTTGTTACTAGGTGAATACACATTTATTATTTTTATGTCTTCCTAATTGACACCTTATCATTATGAAATGTCCTTCTTTATCTACGGTAATACTCTTTGTCTTCAAGTCTGCTTTATCTGAAACTAATATAACCTTTCAGCTGTTTGCCTGATATATTTTCCCATCCTTTTACTTTCAACCTATGTATGTCATTATGAAATTCTTCCTATAGACAGAATACAGTTGAGTCTTGCTTTTTATCCTGTCTGATAGTCTCTATAGTTTAACTAGTAAGTTTAATCCATTTCTATTTAATATAATCATTGATTAGTTGGGTTTAGGTTTACTATTATGTTGTTTTCTTTTTATTGCATCTAGTTTTTGTTCATCTGTTCCTCCTTTCCTGCTGTCTCTTGGGTTAATTGAATAGTTCTTAGAACTAATTCCATTTTATCTATTGGCTTTTAAGATATATCTCTTTGCCTTATTTTTCTACTGGTTGCTCTAGGAATTATTATATACATCTGAATCTTTTAATTGTCTCAATATCCTTGCTTAAAAAAGGATATATAAATCAATTAGGCAAACAAATAAATGAATTAGTCCCAATAGCAAACTACTTCTACTAGAACATTTTGGGTACTTGCTACTCAAAGTGTGGTCTAAGGCCAGTAACAACATCACTTGAGATCGTGTTAAAACTGCAGAATCTCTAGTTACACTCCAGATGTACTGAACCATAATCTGCATTTTGACAAAAACCTCAGGTGATTTATAGGCACATTAAAGTTCGAGAAGTACTGTCCTCCATGATTGAGTGACATTCTAAAGTAACACAGAGCAAATGTTAGCCACATCAAAATATCTGTCTGGCGATGTTCTGTTTAGCAATGTCCATTACTTCTTGGAATCCACCACACTATGTTCTTCTTGGGTAAACTTGGGTAGTTTTGTTTGCTTCCCATTTGTGAGCACTACTCCCAGAGGGGCCACAACCCCACAACTAGCCTTTTCTCATACTATCAGCTGCTTTGCTCCTTGCATTATTCTAAACCTGATACTCACACCTAGCCCCCTCAAAATGGAAAATGCGCAGTGCCTTTGCTCCATGCAGTGCCGTATTCACTTTTTGTTTGTTTGTTTTGGTGAAGTTCTATCTTCCTTCTACTCCAGAGCTATGTTGTTCTTGTGGAGTGAAATGGTGGCTCTATTGAAAACCAGACAAACTGATTCTGAATCTCTGTGATTTGGTCTTACTGCTAAAAATATAGTAGTCATAATTTAGGTTTCCTAGGTAATAGACTCTAAGGGATTCAGCATATGAATTTTTGTGAGGCACAAACATTCAGTCCATAGCAGCTCTCATTGTGTAAAGCGGCCTTATCTCCTCCTCATGACTAGGATCAGTCCTATGCCACTAGGATAGTGACTTCTTTCCTTGCCTGCTGGTCTCTTGGCATAAGAAGTCCAACATGACTGGGAGATAGCCATAGCTTAAAGTTTAACAGATAGAAAAGAAAATCCAGTGCTCACTTAGGCAGCATATATACAAAAATTGGAACTACGCAGAGAAGATTAGCATGGCCCCCGTGCAAGGATGACACAAATTCATGAAGCATTCCATAGTTTTAAGATGAAAAAAAAAAAATAATAATAATAAAAGTCCAGAATTTAGTCCTTACATTTATGGTCAGTTGACTTTCAACAAAAGTGCCAAGGCAATCCAATGGAGGAAAAGATAGTCTTTATATCAAATGGTACTGAAACAGTTGGATATTTGTATGTAACAATGATTGAGACCCTTACCTTGTGCCATACAAAAAAATTAACTCAAAATGGATCACAGATCTAAATGTAAAACCTAAAATCATACAACTTCTGGAAGAAAACATAGGGGGAAATCTTTGTGGCCTTGGATTAAGTAAAGATTTCTTAAATAAGATACCAAATTTTAGATTATGATAAATTGTACTACAGAATTAAAAACTTCAGTTTTCAAATGACACTGTAAGAGTGAAAAGACAAAAAAGAGTGAAAATATTTGCAAATTATATATTTGATAAAGGTCTTGTATCCAGGTTACATAAAGAACTCTTACATGTGACTCCATGATTAAAAAGACAGCCCAATTAAAATATCTACACCAAAAAGGTATGTCAATGGCTCAAAAGCACATGAAAAGATTCTCAATATTGGTATCCATCAGGAAGTGCAAATTAAAACTACAGTGGCATACTACTGCACATCCACTAGAAAACTACATTGAAAAAGACTAATAAGAAAAGACTAATAACACTGAATGTTGGTGAAGATATGCAGAAACTGAAGCATACATTGCTTCTGGGAATTTAAAATGATATAGGTTCTTTGGAAAAACAGTTTAGCAGTTTCTTAGAGTTGCGCACATTTGTACTATATGACCCACCAATTCCACAGAAAGTTGAATACTAAGTGTTCACAGCAGCATTGGTCATAATAGCCAAAACTGGGAACAATCCAAATGTCCATCAATGGGTGAATAGATAAACACACTGTGGTACAACCATACAATGGAATACTGTTCTGTAATAAAAAGGAACAGACTACTGATGCATTTTACAACTGGACAGGCCTCTAAAACATGCTCAGTAAAAAATGCCAGCCACAAAAGATTACATATTGTATGGTTCCATTCATCTGAAATTTCTAGAAAAGGTAAATCCTTTTAGAAATAAACAAATTAGTAGTTACCTGCAGCTGGAGATTGAAAATGTGCATGAGAGAACTTTCTGAAATGATATGTAAATGTTCTAAAATTGATTTAGTGATAACTGCACAGCTGGATTATATTTATCATAAATCATTGAGCTATACCTTACAATGGGTAAATTTTATGGTATGTAAGCTGCAGAAATGCAAAATGCAAATTCTTAAGCAGGTCACTGGAAGTGATATAACCAGGGCTACTCTTGCTACTACCCTTGATTCCTAGACCATATATTTTTGCCTGTTGGAGACACAGTAGCATAAAACAGTCATTGGGTTAGGGTATATACTGTATTCTGGAGGCTGGTGCCCCATTCTTGCAGAATATTATCTCCAAGCTGGTGCCTTAGCTATGCTTTCAAAGGGTCATTCTGTCATTCTCTTGGGCCAGTCACTTATGGATGCTGCAGTATATGGAAGGATCAGTGGATCCCATAGTTGTGATCCCACAGCAACATCTGCTTTGATAAATGAGTCCCTTGGTCTGATGAGATATTATGCAGGATCCCTGTCTTTAAATCTAGTCCTTCATAAGCTTTCAGGTGATGATGTTTGCTAATGCCCTACAGAGACTGAGGATGATTTATACTCAGAATAGGTGTTGATTTTAGTCATGGTGAATTGCTGTCCCTTTCAGAATAAAAACAGTCTAATGCAGTCAACTCACCACCAAGTGGCTGATTAGTGTCTTCAAATGAAAGTTGGTCTCTGTTGCTACCATTTAAACATCAGCTGATAGCTGTTTAGCTCATAGATAACCTTCTTAGATGATGGCTACTCCCTTCTTTGTACCAATGATAGAGGTTGGATAACATCAACTCCCTGAGTCATTTAATTCGGTTTTTGAGCCTAGTGGGGAATATGGAGACTTTAAAGATGCTTCTGGCACATGGACATTTAAGGAGGTGAAAGAAACCAGGCTCAGCTTCAAATACGGACATTCTGCTGTGATACAGAGCATTGCTGTGTTCCCTCTTCAAGAGACTGTCCCACTAGAGAAAGGAACTATAGAGCCAGGGAAATTCACAGGTGGGAGTCACCTAAGATATTTTGAACTCCCTCTTCATTGTGTGGATGGATATACCTGGGATTCTCCAAGAGCAGAGGACACACTCATGGTCACCCAGCTCTATGTGGGAGAGTAGGGATTTGAACTTAGGCTTCCTATATCACATCAATCCCTGGACATGTTCCAAATTTACAGGTGATAGAATCCACAGACAGCAAAGCCACTGTAGCAGGAAAGGATAATTGACTACAAGAAGCACTACATATTGAGTTCATAAGACTTCTGCTGTGTATGATAGCCAGACAATCTGTTTGAATATGGCACATGAAAGAGAATATTTATTTTATACAAGTCAGTAATCAGATTAGATGTGACTTGTTGCCCCCTTAAAGAAAGTAATTTAATCAAGATTAGTGAAAAATAGACCCTGTATAAGGATATAGAGGTGTCTTTTGGAAGCAAAAGTACAGGAATATGGCCAGCTCTAGGGAAAAAATGGAAACCAAGAACTGAGAACATATGAGGATGCCCTCTTCTGTTGTTACTCTTTGGCTGTTCCTTTTTTTTTTCTCTGTTTGAAGACCTGATTTCTCTTTAACACTCTCTGCCAAAATAAAGTTTATTCCCTATAAGTTTATATATAAAATCTGTGTAAATCTATAGATATGGTTATAATGTACAGTTAATTCCCCAGTGCGTATGGTCAAACATGATTACCCCATACCTTCTGAGTTTGCATGTTATGGATCCAGTGACTCCTTGGGCATTAATGACAATCCTAAAACCTGGCAGAAAGGATCTGATTTGTCTAGGTAGGGTCAGTGTCATACAGTACAGATATGAGTCCCTCATCAGTGTGGATAAGGAAAAGAGATGACTGGGGAAAATGCCCAGAGAAATGAGATTGTGGGCTCATAGGCTAGAAAGTCAACCAAAAAGGTGCTGCAATAATAAATTGGAATTGATTCAGTTAAGTATGATATTGAACACTGTCTTCAAGTGTCATAAGGCTTCCACAGAGGGGTTATTTAACATATTTAACTAATAATAAAAATATTCATTTATTAACTGAGAGGTTATTCTTTGCTAGCCACTGTGCATTTATATATATATATTATATATATTTTATATAATATATGTAATATTTATATGCATGCCTCATTTTAATTTAATCCCCATAACAACTCCATGGGGTTGGTTTAATTACCTCTGTTTTACAAATTAGAAAACGAAGAGTCTGCAAGATAAAGTAATTTTTGTAATGTGCCTGAAGTTACACAGACAAGAGACACCTCCATGTCAGTCTGGCTCCACAGTCTGTGCTCTTAACTACAAGGGTAATTACAAGTAGATTTTTAGCAACTGGTGCCAATGTCCAAACCAAATCCTGAAGAGACACAGGGAACTGAGTTTGACCATTGTGGTCTGGATGGTTACAGACATTAATTCCTGGGAAAGGAAGGGACTCAGAATATAAGCTTAGCATTGTATTAATGATTAAATGGATACTGCTAGAAATTTTATTCATAGCCTACAGTGTCTGGAGTTTGGTGTTGATACAACTCCTCTGCAAATTTGGGTAAGGATGGATGTGCTCTCTATACAGTAGAGAAGAAGGAGTTTCCCCCAAATTGGCTCTAGGATCTTATATCTAGGATATAAAATTGGCTTAAAGAAACACTCTGAGCCCCTACAATGAAAAGGGGGTTAAATGATGTCATTTGGGATGTCTTGGTGTTGGTAATTTTCCAGAATGGCAGATTGGGTTTTGGCTTGGACACCAGTTAAGAAGTGACTTTTCCTCATTGCCATGCTCCCCACTGCATGGTGAGCAGAAAACATGATTGTACACAAAAGCTGCAGCTAGTCTGCATGTGAACAAAGAGAACATACCTTTTTTTTTTACAAAGTTTTAATTTTTGTTTATTTTTTCAGAATAAAAATATATTTTAATAGCCACTTATCCTTGATTCTGGGTGATTTAGCATAACTCCCTCTTCATTCTAAAGACTTGATATTCCATTTTCAATTTCTCAGGAAAACCCCATCCCAATGTGCATTGCTGAGGCAGTTTTGTTGTGAAACTGAAGTGTGGGACCATGGAGCAAGTCTGTGCTCACCAGGTGGTCATTTCCTGAGGAATCCCCTGTGTGCACAGAACTACAAGATACACTGCCTTCTCCCACTATCACTGGGGAAAGCATTTCTGATTCATGAGATTCTTTACAGCAGCCTTCACATCCTTGTTTCTGAGGCTGTAGATGATGGGGTTAAGCATGGGAATCAGCACCCCATAGAAGAGGGAAATGAGCTTGTCTGAAACATCCTGTTTGTCTGCCCCCAGGGGGTCCTTTGATTTGGCCTTTGCATACATGAAAAGAATAGTCCCATAGAAGATGACCACCACAGTAAGATGTGCAGAGCAGGTGGAGAAGGCCTTTTTCCTCCCCTCAACCGAGGGGATCCTCAGGATGGTGGTGAGGATGAAGATGTAGGAGACAAAGATGAACAGTACGGGGACCCCCAGGAAGATCACATTGGCCACCCCCATACTGATCACATTGGTGGAGATGTCAGCACAGGCCAACTTCAGGACAGCTAGGATCTCACAGGTGAAGTGGTTGATGACGTGGTCCCCACAGAAGGGTAACTGTACTGCAAGAGAGATCTGTACCGAGGAGTTGACTCCCCCAGCCAGCCAGGAGCCGGCAGCCATGGGCATGTAGGCAGCCTTGCTCTTGACCACGGGGTACCTCAGGGGGTTGCAGATGGCCACGTAGCGGTCAAACGCCATCATCCCCAGAAGCACACACTCCGTGGCTCCTATGGCAAAGGAGAGGAACATCTGCACAGCACAGCCTGAGAAGGAGATGGTTTTCCTGGGAGTGAGGAAGCCATCCAGGACCAGAGGGACCGAGGAGGTTGTATAGCAGGTGTCGAGGAAGGAGAGGTTCCCCAGGAAGAAGTACATACAGGCGGGAGTCGGACACAGTCACCAGGACGAGGACCCCATTGCCCAGCAGGATCATCAGGTACATCAGCAGGATGAGCACAAAGAATGTTTTCTCCAGCCTTGGCTGATCTGACAGCCCCAGCAAGACAAAGCCTGCCACAACGGACTGGTTAGCCACTTCCATTTTAAATTCTCTCTTTCACCCTAAGGAAAACTGAGGACAGCAAACACATGTTTATAGGGATCACTATGTGTGGATTACAATGAGATGCTTCCGGAACTTATAATTAAATTTACCCTTTGACATGCTAACTTGTAATATCAGCATCTAAGAGATAAAATTCACTGTCCACTGAAGTTACCTTAAAAGTCAGAATATATCAAATCAAAAGCAGGAAAAGCAGACACCAGAAATCAGATCAAACCACGATTTATGATAGAATTTAGCGAGATCAGTAATGTTAATGCACTTGAAGGAAGAGATGTGTAAGGATGGGTCTATGGGAACCATAAAAGAGGAACCGTGAGGGTGTGCTGCGTGGGTCCACCACTGACTGGCCCTCTGGCCAGCCCTGCCTGTCCCCAAATTGACCCTGCAGTGTCCTTGGAGGCTTTGGGTTGTCATACTCAGTGATGCTGAGCGTTGACACCAGCTCACTCACTCCCCTGGCTCTAATTCTGTGCTTGTATAATAATTTTCTAATGATAATTTGGCTCCACCTGGAGTCATACATGGAGAGAATGTGATGAGCAGAGGCCAGGAAGATTAGATTCTGCCTAGTATTTACATTTGTTACTTGATGCCTGGTTTATACTTCATTTCTTGTGAGTTTGGTCAGCAATCCTCCTTCGCTGCCCTGTCAATAAAGAGTTTCTGGCCAATAGACCCTGCAGACCCTAACAGTCCACATCCCCTCTCTCTAACCATGGCCTTTGTCCATACCACTGCAGTTTCCTCAGTCTGCTCCAGCCTGTGGGGCTGGGGAGTAGGGATAGAATCCATGGACAAGTGTCCCTCGTGCCTCCCAGTATGAGCATCTGTAACTTTTGGACCAAGCTCCATGCTTTGGGAGCTGTTTTGTAAGTCACAGCTCCTAACTCAGATCCTTTTATATTTGAGTTGACCGTTAAAGTCAATGCCACAGTACTCCTTTCTCCCCTACAAAAAAAAAGACAATTCTACCCAGCCTTGCAGAGAGTTGCTCAAAGGAGGGATGGACGTGGGATGTACTTCAGTCATGGAACAGTACATGAGTCTTGAATTCTCATATTAAGGATGAAAGGAAAGCTCAGAGAGGTCCCCAGGCAGCGAGGATAGGGTGAGGACGGAGCCTGCTTCCTCATCTTCTCCCCGGGGCTCCTTCTCTCACCACTCTGATTGTAATTTTGCTCCTCCATTTGTGCCAGAGCAGATCTACTGAGGAGCAAAGGACTGATTATGAAATCTTAGTCATCCACGTTTTCCCTAGGACACTCATGAAAAATAGAAGTGTCACACCTTTCTCCAAGAGATTGCCTTGTTGTAGGGCTTGGATGGGTGGGGGTGTCCCTGGGCTTCACTCATTGTATCCATGATTATAACACTGGTGCTGGTTGGGGAATTTGGGTGGGAGAAACCAGGAGGAGTCTGAGGCTATCCTCATGCAATAATCAGAGGCAATTAACTGTAGGTGCTGAGAATATATGTTATTAGAGATATTAGTACTGTTGACTAGAGAACCTTAGACTTGGCAGGAATGCTGTAAAATAACCAGTCTTGCCTCTTTCACCTCCATTCTGTGAGCACCTTCTGTGAAACAGTTTTCCCATTGCTACTTTGAATGCCTTGAGTTGTGTGCGTGCAAGACTCCCATCCTTTGTCCAACAGTCTGGATTGTTGGAAAGCTTTCCCTTACATTGAGCAGAAACTTCATTTTTCCAATGTCACCCCTACTCCTAACCACCTCCCCCCCCACTCCGACACTGGTCTAGACTTCCAGGCCATGCCTGCTCCCTTCCCCTATAAAAGTCCTTCAGAAACACGGAAACTGTGACCAGGCCCCCACTCGCCAACCATCTTTTCTCAGCTCCCCACGTACCTGAGGAAAGTTTGGCCACAGAGAGATCTTGGTCTGTGTCCAGTGTGGGGATGAGGCCGTGGTGGAAACAGGAGCTGACCTGGGAAGAATGTCTCATGGCAGGACTGCTCAAACTGTCCACCTTGACTATCCCCTGTCTAGCCCTACCTGTCGAGGCTGTGCCTGGAAGCATGCAGTAAATTCTGCTTAGCTGTCTTGGAGCTGAGCAGTCTCTTCAGATTTCACAGCAAGGTAAAAAAATATAGGGTTGGCCATAGCTGAAGGGGCTCTACTGCTCCTTTTCCTGGTCTTCTCCATGTCCAGCGAGTTAACAGGAGGGAAGACCACTCGGGGAGCTGCCTCCCGGGGGTCCTGCAGTCCTGCTCAGCCTGTGTGCCCAGGGCAGACACCTTCTGCTCTTCGCCCCTTGCCCTCTCGCCAGAGGTTCTGTCAAAGAGCCATGGAGCAATTTAGAGCTCTGCTTGTTTGGGGCCGGTTTTAATCCCAGAAGCAATTTAAAGTTTGGTGGAGGCCTCTCAGGAGTTTAGGGCCTGTGTCCCATAAACCCAATTAGGTAAATTTAGACAGCTCCATGTAAATCTTAACTCGCCACCAAGAAATGTTCCTTAGATTAGGAAGTTTCTGTCCTGTCCTTGCCGACTTTCCTGGGAGTAGAGGAGGTAACTGATGTCTGACTGCTTTGACCACAGTGGTGTCTGTGAGAGGGGGCTCTGCACTTGTCTTTCCAAGGCTAAGTGGTAAAACAAGAGGTGGAAGGCTTGCCTTGGCCCTGACTGACACACTGGCCGTCTCCATGCTCCAGAGCAGCAGGCCCTCCCTGCAGTCAGCCCCTCAGCATCATCCAGAGCTGACCAGGTATGGCCCTTGCCCTCAAAAACAGGAAGCAAGAGACATGTACCAAGGGCCAGTGCTGAGCACTTGAAAGAGAGCAGAAATGACAAGGATGGGGCCTCTGATCTCTAGGTAGATTCTGGTGACAGCTGCAGTCGGCAAGGTGATTGCCAAATGCCCCTGAGGTGTACGGGAGCCCAGAAGCTGGGCAGAGTCAGAGGAGGGAGGGTGGAGCAGATTGGATCCCAACTGGGAAGTAACTCTAACAGACGCACAGAACAAAGATGACAGCTTGAAGCAGAGGGCCTGAGGGCAGAAGAGAGCTCTGGGGTTGGTAAGAGAGCTGCAGGGTCATGCCTTAGACAGAGGCAGCTCTAGAGTCACAGGCCAGACAGGTAGCTAGCATCTGGTTAGTTGGAGATCTTTGGTGGTGAGGAACAGAGAATCTTTGAAGTAATCTCAGCTGGGGCCAGGGAGGTGAGAGTCAGGTAGGGTGGAACATGGCTACAGGCACTCAGCAGGGCCTGAGGATGGGGAGTTTCTCTTAGAAGTAGATCGGAGGAAGGCTGAGAGAGGGTGAGGAGCTCTGGATTGAAGCCTAATCTGTATCAGAAGCAACTGATAAAGCCTGGTCTTCAAGAGAAATAGGATGACTTGCTAATAAAAAGACCCTGGGTACTAATTCTTCCTTGGGAGGAAGAAAATGGAAGTTGTTAGAGTTCTCTGTGTACGCTTGTCATCCATGCAGGCGCCATGGTCCACATTACCGCAGGTGAATTGCACGGAGTTCTCATAGATTGTGGGTTCAGCCCCCTCCCCTGGTGCTTTTGTCATTTTCATAAAGGCTGAGGAAAAGAAGCCCTGTAAATACAAATGAAGATCCATATATGGAAGTGAGAAGTAAAGGGATTTATTTTAGCAAGTCATTTTTAGGGGTTGATTTTTTTCTTTGTCTGAACAAAAGGAATTTGCAGAGATCCTTTTTTTGGGAGTCAGGGTTCAAGAAACACCTGAGAAGGACACACTCTGAGAGCACACACCGGGTTCATGCATCAATGCTGAGACTGGCCATTACTCTCTGTCCCAGGGTTTCCCTGGAAGTTGACTCCGGTGGGGAGATTTTCATGCAGGACGTTGATGGGGGAGTGCTCTTAAGATCAACACCTGTGGAGTAGGGGTGAAGGAAGCAGGACTGGGCAGAGGGAGAACTCAGACTATCATGAGGAAGCTCTCAAGCTAGAATGGCTCTTCCAAGTCATCCCCATTGGAAGCAAGGAGGACCAGGACTTTATATTGACATTGACTCATCACTGGATGTTGGATATGCAGTGCCTCTGAGAAAGGAATGTGACTTTTGGTGAGGTAACTCTCTTGGGCCAAGGGCAAGCCAGCAGAGGGACTCAACTGAGTGCTGTCAGCCACCAACATTCCCAGCAGCTGGCATTATGAGAGGCTTCAGCCCTAGGTGGGTGGAGGTGGGTTTGGACAGAACACCACTGCATCCACTACTCACTCTTAACCAGTATTTCTCAATGTGTAACATGCATATGAATCACCTGAGGGTCTTGTTAAAATGTAGATTCTAACTCAGTAGGTCTGTAGTGGGCCCCAGGAGTCTACATGCCCAAAAAGCTCCCAGGTGATGCTGATACTGCTGGTCTATGGACCACACTGTGAGTAGCATGGCTCTAAACTCAATTTCCCCTTCACCTGGCATTACTTTTTATTGAGATTCTCAAGTGAGGGTCATCAGGGTGTGTGGATCATATCATGGAACATATCCCACCATCACTGGGTGAGGCGTTTCTGAACCACCAGTTTCCTCACAGCAGCCTTAACATCCTTGTTTCTCAGACTATAGATGATAGGATTGAGCATGGGGGTCAGAAGTCCATAGAAGAGGGAGATAAGTTTGTCTAAAACATCCTGTTTGTCTGCCCCTAAGGGATCTTTGGATTTGGGCTTCCCATACATGAAGAGGATGGTCCCATAGAAAATGACCACCACAGTGAGGTGAGCAGAGCAGGTGGAGAAGGCCTTTTTCCTCCCCTCAGCTGAGGGGATCCTCAGGATGGTGGTGAGGATGAAGATGTAGGAGACAAAGATGAATAGCACAGGGATCCCCAGAAAGATCACATTGGCCACCCCCATGCTGATCGCATTGGTGGAGATGTCAGCACAGGCCAACTTCAGGACAGCTAGGATCTCACAGATAAAATGGTTGATGATGTTGTCCCCACAGAAGGGTAACTGTACTGCAAGAGAGATCTGTACCAAGGAGTTGACTCCACCCGCCAGCCAGGAGCCGGCAGCCATGGGCATGTAGGCAGCCTTGCTCATGACCACGGGGTACCTCAGGGGGTTGCAGATGGCCACGTAGCGGTCAAACGCCATCATCCCCAGAAGCACACACTCCGTGGCTCCCATGGCAAAGGAGAGGAACATCTGCACAGCACAGCCTGAGAAGGAGATGGTTTTCCTGGGAGTGAGGAAGCCATCCAGGACCAGAGGGACCGAGGAGGTTGTATAGCAGATGTCGAGGAAGGAGAGGTTCCCCAGGAAGAAGTACATGGGCGTGTGCAGGTGGGAGTCAGACACGGTCACCAGGACGAGGACCCCGTTGCCCAGCAGGATCAGCAGGTACATCAGCAGGATGAGCACAAAGAACATTTTCTCCAGCCTTGGGTGGTCTGAGAGGCCAAGCAAGACAAATTCTGTCACAGCAGACTGGTTGGATGCTTCCATTTCAAGCTCTCTCTCTCATGTCTGGGAATCCTGAAGGCAGAAAATACGTTTGATTAAAAAAAAATTTGATTTTTTGATGGCTTGCTTTGATCAATACATGGGAATCACAGTACATATGATGTTGCTAAATTTAAACTTACCCTATGGGATTCAATTTTAAAATCAAGTTATCAAAAGCCAAGCTGTGTATCAGTCAAAAACTTGAAGGGCAGACCCTGAAAATCTAATGAAACGTAATAAAATGAAGGACATTTCTGTCTACTCAATGATATTAATATACCTAAAACAAATTCCTATATCTACATATGTTGTGTATCTCCAGCACTCATCAGGGAAGCAGGGGCTTCTGAATAACTGTCTTTCTCATATAATTTGGGACCTCAAGCTATCACAGCTCAGTGACCCTGGTCATTAAGGTCACATGGCTCATTCTTCTGGATCTTATTCCTCTTTACATAGCAAGTTTCTATTATAATTCAACTTCCCAGATAGTCTTACAGGGAGAGATGTGCTGGCTTGAAAACAAAGTTTTTTAAATCTCTTAAACAGCTCTATTTCTTATACAGTATCTGTATATACTGTATATATTTGTATAAACATGAAGTTTATACTTCAGTGTTTTGTGAGTGTAGCTAGTGTGAATCAGTTCATCTGATCTTGACCTTCTTCTTTGAATTATCTGACCAAATTGAATTTCTGGAGCCTGGAACATGGAGTATCCACTAAAGTTTCCAGAAATCTGATCTGCAGAGTGGGCCTTGTGTTGCCCCCTGTAATCATACCTGACCTGTCTACAGCTCTGCTGCTTGGCCCAAGGAATAAAATCTTACCTGATAGTCAGAGCCCACTCATAATTCACATTCCCAGGCTGGGTTGAGTGGGGCCTTGGGTCGCAAGCCATCCAGTACCATTTAGATGCTTTGCAGACATCATCACATGTAACTCTACTCAGCCTCCCAGGATATTCAAAGCCACACTGTAGATCATCACAATTTCACTGCCAAAGAGATTAAGAACCAGATGTCACCATGGACTGCCCAAAACAGCAGTGGAACTGCCTGTCTAATACCTACCTGAGAGCTGGTTAAAAATACAAGTTGCTGGCATACAAGAGTAATATACAGGAATCTGTTGCATTTCTTTATACTAACAATGAAATATCAGAAAATGAAAGTAAAAAAAAGTCCCATTTAAAATTGCATCAAAAAATATGTAGGAATACACCTAACCAAGGAGGTGAAAGATATGTGAGAAGTATGAAACACCAATAAAGGAAATCGAAGATGATTCAAGGAAATAGATACCCCATGCTCTTGAATTGAAAAATTAATATTGTTAATAAAGTGGCCATACTACTGAAAGCAATCTACAGATTAAGTGCAATCCCTATCAAATTACCCATGACATTTTTCACAGAACTAGAACAAATAATCCTAAAATTTATATGGAACCACAAAAGACACAGAATTGACAAAGCAATACTAAGGAAAAAGAACAAAGCTGGAGGTATAACTCTCCAAGACTTTAGACAATACTACAAAACTACAGTAATCAAAACAGCATAGTACTGGCACAAAAACAGACATATAAAACAATGGAACAGAAAGAGAGCCCAGAAATAAACCCAAACATCTACAGTCAATTAATCTTAGACAAAGGAGGCAAGAGTATACAATGAAGAAAAGACAGTCTCATCAGCAAGTGGTATTGGGAAAGCTGGACAGCTACATGTAAATCCACAAAATTAGAACACTCTCTCACACCATACACAGAAATAAACCTGAATGGATTAAAGGCTTAAATATGACATGACACCATAAAACTCCTAGAAGGGAACATAGGCAAAACATTCTTTAACATAAATCATAGCAATATTTTCTTAGATCAGTCTCCCAAGGCAAAAGAAGTAAAAGCAAAGATAAACAAATGGGACCTAATCAACCTTATAAGCTTTTGCACAGCAAAGGAAATCATAAACAAAACAAAAAGACAACCTATGTAAAGGGAGAAAATATCTGCTAATGATGCAACTGACAAGGGCTTAATTTCCAAAATATACAAACAGCTCATACAACTGAGTATCAGAAAAACACACAACCCAATTTTAAGAAGGGCAGAAGACTTAAATAGACATTTCTCCAAAGAAGACATACAGATGGCCAACAGGCACATGAAAAAGATGCTGAACATTCTAAATGTTAGAGTAATACAAGTCAAAACTACAATTAAGTATCACATCACACTGGTCAGAATGACTGTCATCAAAAAATCTACAAATAACAAATGCTGGAGATGGCACGGAGAAAAGGGAGCCCTCCTACACTGATGATGAGAATCCAAACTGCTGCAACCACAATGGAAAACAGTATGGAGGTTCCTTAAAAAACTAAAAATAGAGTTATTGTATGATCCAGCAATCTCACTCCTGGACATATATCCAGAAAAGTTGAAAACTCTAATTGGAAAAGATATATGCACCCCAATGTTCATAGCAGCAATATTTACAATAGTCAAGACATGGAAGCAACATAAGTGTCCATCAACAGATGACTGGATAAAGAAGTGTGGTAGTATATACAGATACAATGGAATATCACTCATCCATAAAAAAGAATGAAATAATGCCATTTGCAGCAACATGGATGGACCTAGAGATTATCATACTAAGTGAAGTAAGCCACACAGAGAAAGACAAATACTGTATGTTACCACTTATATGTGGAATCTAAAAAAGAATACAAATGAACTTCTAGAAACAGAATCACAGACATAGAAAACAAACTTATGGTCACCAAAGGGGAAAGGGAGAGGTGGGGGATAAATTAGGAGCATGGGATTAACAGATACACACTACTATATATAAAATAGGTAAACAACAAGGATCTGCTGTATAGCACAAGGAACTATATTCAATATCTTGTAATAGCCTATAATGGAAAAGAATCTGAAAAAGAATAGATATAGATATATTAAAAAACTGAATCACTTCACCGTACACCTGAAACTAACACAATATAGTAAATCAACTCTAGCTCAATAAAAAAATGAAAGAAGAAATTGCAAACCAAAAAAATTGAAAATACAATGTAAGAAAGTGAAAAAAAAAAACCAGTTTGCTGGGTCCTACCTTTGTAGTTGGTCTTGGAGATCAGTTTTTTGGTTTTCTGTTTTAAGTAAATGTTCCCCATGTACTTGTGATGTACACCAGTGTTGGGAATCACTGACCTCTTATAACGTGAGGAAACTGAGGTCAGGAAGGAGGTTGGTGAATTTCACATGACTGAAGAAGGGTGCTTTTCTCTAACTGGTAGTGATACAATGTCCGAAAGAGGTTATCTCAGGGTATCAGGAATTAAGGGATGCAGAATCATTTTTTACAGAAAGGCTCCTTTAGTCTCAGGGAGTGCAGAATTTGAAGTTTGGCAGAATCTTCAGATATTAAACCAATCCAGTCCCCTCCTCTGACCCACCTGTTACAGCTGTCCCATCTTCAGGAATTGATTTCTCGGGCTCTTTTTGAACATTTTGAACAATGGTGAGAGGGGGCTCACAGCCTCCAATGTTGTTGTCAGGAAGCCTGGGCTATTAGACTTCTCCACGGACCTGCTATGTGCCCTTTTCTAACTTCTGCCTTCCTCCACTGGTCCGAAGTCAGCCTCCTGGACTCATGCAAAACAGACCCACACCATTGCCACAGCAGCAGCCTTTGGAGCTTTAGAAATAGTTGCCTTGTCCCCCAGCCCTGTCCTCCCAGCCCCCAGTCTGCTCAGCCCTCTTTGCATGAGACTCTTCTTTCCTCCCACTGGTGAAGAACCAGCCAGAGAGCTCATCCAGCACTTAGCCAGTATGGGTTCCCATCTAGGCTCAGTCTGTTGCTTGCGAGGAGGCAGGCCAGAAGTGGCTGTTTCTGGTGTCACCTGCCCATCTGGCTGCTACTGAGCCATAACCAAGCAGGCTGGCCACACAGGCCATATCCCTCAGAGCTGCTCTGGCAATGCCTAGGTGCACGCTCTTAACACAGCCATGTGCCCTTCACCTGTTGTCTAACTTCCTGGTATATCTTAATGGCCCTGGGTGTAGAGGGCTCCCAAGTGCAGCCACACACAGCTTGCAGCTCACGGAAGCTACAGTTACCCACAGTGCCCTTGCCTGCCCCTGGGGCTCAGTGAGACAGGGAGATGAAGGCTGACCCTCAAGGCTGAGGCTCAACCAGGTGCCCCAGCCCGGAGGAGGAGGAGGCTGCACCGCAGGGCAGGCTGGAAAGCCGTGCCCAGCCCCTGCGCCCAGGACCCTCTTCTCTGTGTTCTACCCTGCTCTCCAGGGGGGTCCCACAATCAGTCTCTCAGGAATTTTAGGGCTGGGTTGCTTTGGGACCAGACCCTATCCCAGAAGCAATTTAAACTTCGGTAAGAGGCTCAGAATTTAAACTTCACCTCATAGACCCAATTAGGCATGTTGTGTTGTCTACCCAAAGTGCCCCTCTCAGTACAGGAATATCTTAGCTTAGAACATTCTCTGGCCAAGTAATCAGAGTTCTCCTGGGCTTTAACTGCAACAGTTGGTCCAAGGTGGCTCTGTCATTGGCCCCCAAAGAGCCTAGAAAGGAGAAAGACTTGGGCCTCAGTGATTCAGATATTACTGGGAACTTCGGACCAGATTCCTGGCCACCCAGGTATCTCCTCCCCTCTACTGGGTGACCCAGGATGCTGTCTGTCTCTCTTTCTCTCTCTCTCTCTGCCACCAGCCTGCCCTCCACTCTGAACAGTTTCCATGCTGCAAACATGTCATGTGTGTCAGACCTTGTGCCCGGTACCAAAGAGTAGGGGTTGGAGGGGGGTCCATGATGACCAGAAATGGGTCTCGGTCTTTGGAGAACATCCAGCAGAGTGGGACTTTCCAGAGACTAAGGCATAACTGGGTGTGTCACAGAGCTGTCTGGGAAGCTGGGCATAGGAGGAGTGTGCAGAACTAGCCCAGGATGAAAATAATGGGGATGAGGAACAAGTGGCC